ACGGCCTCGCCCCTGCCCCTATTTCGGAAGTGCTGGCGCTCACCTGGATCTCCTGACAGGCCCAGGCTGCCCTCCGGCCCTCTGCCTGCTTCTCCTCGATAAGGCCCAACCCCAGCCCGAAGGCCAGAAAGACAGCCCGGCCGCAGGGGCTCGCGCCGCCTCGGGCCTGCAGCACGAACTGCCGCTGGAGCCGCAACGCCAGCCCGGCCACCGACTGGCGGAAGAAGCGGTAGCGGTCGGGGAGCCCGAGCCTACGCGACTCCGCACCGGGCCCCGCGGCCGGGCGCGGGCGCTCTCCTCGGCCCCAACACGCCGGCGGACCCGGCCGCTCGGCCCGTCCCCAGCCGTAGGTCGGGCCAGGCTTGGCTGTGAAGCGCAGCAGCAGCGCTCGGCCCAGCTGCAGGCCCCGGCCCAGCGCCTGTCGCACCACCATGGTGGCGCCGCGGCCCTAACCGGCCGCCGCCTGGCACGCAGGCCACAGTAACAACAAACTCCTGGGCGGTGCTTCTGCGCTGGTTCGGGCGCCGGGTGGGCGGGGCCGGCGCCGGGTGGGCGGTTCCCTGGCTTCGGCGCGCGGGGGCGCTGTGGCGCAGTGCACGGCGGGTAGTGTCTCACATTTTTTCTCTTGCTCTGGCTGTTAGGGCAGATCCTTCGTTGGTCCTGGACGAAATCGAGAAATTAGGAAGGGCAACCATTCATTGACTACCAGCCACCATGCTGGAACCTTTAAATCTGTTAATTTATTTAATCTTCCCACCAAGATGATATTATTAGCCTCTTTTTACTGAGACCCTTTTACCCCCTAGGGTGAAAGTTTCTCATACAACCACAGTCTCTGTGCCTTCTTAGGACCCTAAGACCGAGGTGAGAAACACTACATTTTGCAGATGAATGAACTGACGCCTCGAGACATGGAGAGACTTGCCCAGAGTCACACAGCTTGTTAATGGTAGAGCCCTGTCACCCAAACTTGCTCTTAGGAATGGCTGAGAAGCAGATTTGTACTGTTTTCTTCCTTCTTTTTTTTGTCTCTCCTTCCCTCCCTCTCTCCCTTCCTCTCCTTCCTCCCTTTCGCCACTACCTTCCTTTCATCCTTTTTGTCATGGTAATTTGGAAACATGCGCACAATAGAATAGTATAGTGAACCCCAACAGTTATCAACAAATGACCGTTATTTTTCATCCGTAATTCCTACTGTCCCCCATTATTTTAAAGCAAATTCAGCTATCATATTATTTCACTTGTAAATACTTCAGTATCTATCTCCAGGAGATAGAGCTTTTTAAAAAATAAATATTATTATCACGCTTAAAAAGACTAACATTAACTCCATGATATTAGTTAATATCCAGTCGCTATTTGGATTTCCCTGATTATTCATAAATGCCCTTTTTAAAGTTATTCAAACTGAGATCCAAACAAGGTCCACACAGTTTATTTGGTCAGTGGGTTTTTCTTAAACAAGGAATTAAGCCATTCATTTTCCTGGGCTGAGGGGGTATATTTGGAGCTCTGCCATTTTTTTAACTGTTCCTGTGGTCAGAGGTGCTTCTACTCTTTTACTTCTAACGCTGGCTGTGGATGGGAGGCCCTGAAAGATGCGTAATACTTTTTTGTAGATGTGGCCATGTGTCTGTGTGTGATTGAATGAGCTTCAGGGCAAGGAGACAATTGTCTGGCCTGGGATTCACCTAGCATTGTTTGAGTAGAAAGGCGCAGCAGAAGTCATTTATCTCAGGGTTCATTTATGTCTTTCAGCACAGCCCAGGTTTGATGCTGTGGAGTAGTGAGTGTGGCTAGGAGGCTTCCCTATAAAAACAAAGCAACTGCAAAAGGATCCATCTTTGAACTGGTGAATTTAAGTATTTAAAAAATTTATATATATATAAATATATGCATGTATGTGTATACATATATATGTGTATGTATAAATGTATGTATGTATATATGTATAAATATATGTATATGTGTAAATATAAGCCCTGATGGCACAGTGGTTAAGGGCTTGGCTGCTAACCAAAAGGTTGGCAGTTCGAATCCACCAGCTGATCCTTGGAAACCCTATGGGGCAGTTCTGTTCTGTCCTGTAGGGTTGCTATGAGTTGGAATCGACTCTATGGCAATGAGGTTTTGTTTTTTTTTTTGATATGTATATATATGTATGTGTGTATAAAACAAATAGTTGTTATTAGTTGCTGTCAAGTTGGCTCCGACTCATGGCGACCTTATGTGCAACAGAATGAAATGTTCCCCACCATCTTCATGATCGTTGGTATGTGTCATGGATTGAATTGTGTCCCCCAAAAATATGTGTATCAATTTGGTTGGGCCGTGATTCCCAGTATTATGTGGTTGTCCTCCATTTTGTGATTGATATAATTTTCCTGTGTTGTAAATCCTAATCTCTGCCTGTGGTTAATGAGGCAAATTTAAATTATGTTGAAGAGGATTAGCATGGGATGTAACACCCTTGCTCAGGTCACATCCCTGATCCAATGTAAAGGGAGTTTCCATGGGGTGTGGCCTGCACTACCTTTTATTTTACAAGAGTTAGAAGGAAAAGGAAGCAAGCAGAGAGTTGGGGACCTCATACCACCAAGAAAGTAGCACCAGGAGCAGAGTGCATCCTTTGGACCTGAGGTTCCTGTGTGGAGAAGCTCCTAGACCAAGGGAAGGTTGATGACAAGGACCTCCCTCTAGAGCCGACAGAGAAAGAAAGCCTTCCCCTGGAGCTGGCACCCTGAATTTGGACTTGTAGCCTACTAGGCTGTGAGAAAATAAATTTCTCTTTGTTAAAGCCACCCATTTGTGGCATTTCTGTTATAGCAGCACTAGATGACAGTATGTTTGAGTCCGTTCTTGTAGCTATTGTGTCAATCCATTTCATTGACGGTTTTCCTCATTTTTGTTGGCCTCCCACTCCACTAAACATGATGTCTTTTTCTAATGATTGATCTTTCCTGATGACGTGTCCAAAGTAAGTGAGTTGAAGTCTCGCCATCCTTTCTTGTAAGGAACATTCTGGTTATATTTTGAGTGCCTTTCAACCTAGGGGGCTCATCTTCCAACATCATGTTGGATAGTATTCTACTGTGATTTATAGGGTTTTCATTGGCTAATTTTTGGAAGTAGACCATCAGAACTCTCTTTCTAGTCTGTCTTAATTTGGAGGCTCTGCTGAAACCTATTCACCATGGGTGACTGTGCTGGTATTTGAAATACTTGCTTCCAGCATCATAGCAAAATGGAAACCACCACAGTAGGATAAACTGACAGACAATGGTCCTGGTAATTTTACTTCTAGGTATAGAGCCTCAGAAAGGCATGTGTATGTTCACCAAGAATTTTCACAGGAGCACTTATTTAACATAGTGTAAAACTGGAAACAACTCAAATGCCGATTTACAGTAGACTGGATTAATTGTGGTATATTCACCCAATGGAATACTAAATAGCCATGAGAGTGAACAATCTATAACAATATACAATGACATGATGTATTTCATAAACATGCAAATGAGTTACAGAAGGCAAACCCAAAGGAATAAATACTATATGTTTTCATTTATATGAAGTCCAAAGACAGACAAAAAGTAATCTATGGTACAAGTAATCTATGCAAATCCGAATAGTGGTTGTCCTTGGGAGAGTAAGTTACTAGAAAGGGATAAAGGGGCTTCTGGAGTGCTGGTGACATTCTGTTTCTTGATCTGTATATGTTTGCATGATGAAAATTCATCTTGCTGTACACTTTGATTTGTGCAACGTTCTGTGTGTTATTGTGATGGTTAAGGTTGTGTGTCAACTTGGCGGGGCCATGATTCTAAGTGGTTTGGCAGTTATGATGTAGTTTGGCAATTATGTAATGATGTAATCATTTCCAGGATGAGATCTGATATAATGTAATCACATCATGATGAGATCTGCTGTGAGCAGCCAATCAGTTGAAAGGGAGTTTCCTTGGGGTATTCCTTCATCTAATATATATAGACTTTCTGGAAAAGCTCGCTGGCTTTTGCTCGTTCTGTATCCTGCATCCGGCTTGTCATCATCTGACTTCCGGTTCTTGGAACTTGAGCCAGCAGCCTGCCGTCTGACCTGCCGATCTTGCGTTCATCAACCCCTGCAGCTACATGAGTCAGGAGAAGCCTCCAGCCTGACACCTGACCCATGACTTGGGACTTTTCAGCGTCTACAACCGTGTGAGCCATTTCCTTGATATAAATCTCTCTATACGCATGTACGATTTACTGGTTTTGCTTCTCTAGAGAACCCAGCCTAAGACAGTTATATTTAATAAACATTTAACATAAAAGAGCTTTTTAACATAATGAAAGCTTTTTTTAAAATTTTAGTCTGATTCATGGTCTGAATTTTTTTTTTAAATGAACTTAGATTTGAATAGTGCATTATAGTTCACAAAGTTTGCTCAATTATCTTTGAACTCAGTGGTTTTAAACAACAAATGCATTTTAATGATTAACTTTGTTACTTCATAAGCCTTGACTTGAACTTTGTTCTGCAGGAGTGCATATCTCAATCAGCTGATTTCTGAAACATTGAGGATGGTGCTTTCACTGTTTAGGGTCCGCCATCAGTAGGGGCATTCTCTCTCCGGGCCAATCTTTACGTTGATTCCTCTTATGATGGTGGGTAGAAAAGGCGGGACACCGAGAGAGAGCCTGCAAAGGCTTCACATTCCTTTCTTTCTCCTCAAATACTAAGTCAAAGGACACATAGATGGTAGTTGTTGCCGAAGGAGGAATTCTGCAGTCATCTGAAGAATTCTGGTCCCCAGGCTTGCTTGGCTATGGGGTGGACCCCTGGCCAGGGCCGGGTGGACAACTGTTTCAGCAAAGTGTATGTGTGTATATATGTTCTGATCTCTCTTATGGTCTTCCTTGAGGGAGAAATTACAAAGCCTTTGTGATATACAATCATATTTATTTGGGAGAGACATAAATAGATGCATTTCTTTCCAGTTTATTTGGATCACAACGGTCAGATTCGCAACTGATCATGGGGATGATGCAGGACCGGGCAGCGTTTTGTTCCATTGTGCATGGGGTTGCCATGAGTCGGGGTCCACTCGAAAGGACCTAACAACAGCACATAGAAATCAGATAGTATTGTCTTTAATTAATTTGATTGATCTCAAGATAATTTTAAATTACAATTTTAAATACTCTGTTGAAATTGTCGTCATGTATTGAATTGTGTCCCCCCAAAAATGTGTGTAGTAACTTGGCTAGGTCATGATTCCCAGTATTGTATGATTGTGTTATCTGATGTGATGTCCTTATGTGTTGTAAACTCTACCACTATGATGGGATTATATGTGATCTCTTCATGTGTTGTAAATTCTATCACTGTGATGAGGTTATACTGATGAGGTTGACAAGATCAGTGTCTTAATGCAACTCTTTTGAGATATAAAAGAGAGAAGCGAGCAGAGACACATGGGAACCTCATACCACCAAGAAAGCAGTGCTGGGAGCAGAGTGCATCCTTTGGACCTGAGGTTCCTGCGCAGAGAAGCTCCCAGACCAAAGGAAGACTGATGACATGGACTTTCCTCCAGAGCCAACAGAGAAAGTGTTCCCCTGGAGCTGATGCCCTGAATTTGGACTTGTAGCCTCCTGGACTGTGAGAGAATAAATTTCTCTTTGTTAAAACCATCTACTTGTGGTATTTCTGTTAGAGCAGCACTAAATGACTGAGACATTGTCCTTTGGAGGAAGATAAGGAAGAGAGGGTTGGAGAAACTTCACACTCCAGTGACCACAGACTCACTGGTGAGCAAAGGTCTTGTTTAAAGATCACCCCTCCTCGCTCGCTGTGTCTGCTGTGTCTTGTTATCATCACTGCAGCTCTTCTTTTTA